TCGGGTGGTCAAAGGAAACGCACAAATATTGGAATGGAACTTGTAGCAGAACCATCTATCCTTTTCTTAGTAAGATTTAAGATTTATAAAAATTATCATTAAATTTTAAAATTATCATTAAATTATAAAATTATCATTTAAATTATTAAATTTTTTATTAAAATATTTTTTTTTAATCATTTATTAGGATGAACCAACATCAGGTTTAGATTCAACAACAGCATTAGAAGTGTGTAAATTATTGAAAAAAATTGTGAAACATCAAGGGATTACAGTTGCAGCCGTAATTCATTCACCATCAGAAAAATCTTTTGAAATGTTTGATGATCTTATGTTGTTAGGTAAAGGAGGAAGAGTTGTATATTTCGGACCTCGGGATAAAGCAATGGAATATTTTATTAATCTTGGATTTAATTTTCCTAATGACGAAAGGTATTTTGGAAATAATTATTGAAATTTCAAATAACTTTATTAATTTTATTAATAATTTAATTTATTTTTCTAGTGAACCTGATTTTATGATGAAAATAGCATCAGGAAGAGGTATAATAATAATATATTTAATATATTTTCAATAATCAATGTATTTACTATATTAACGAAGTTATATAATATACATATATATATACAATTTTTTGTTTATTAGCTAAACCAAAAGATGGTGATTTAAGCTTAGAGGATCTTTATGAATTATGGGAATCTCAGAAACAAAGTAGAGCTTCATCAGTGGATACTTATATTTCTAATGAAGGAGTAATAATTAATGTTGGATCAACGTTAAAACCTGGATGTGCAACAGGATTTTGTGCACCAATTTACCAAATTATACATGATTCTTATCAATATGCGATTGATGTTGGATTAGAATTTTCATATTTTCTTAAAGGACTTATTATTTTTTGGACGAAGGATCCTGTTCGTCAAACGCCGAGTGTTTTTATATCATTTATACTTTTATTTAAAAGAGCATGTTTACAAATTTATCGAAACAAGTCAAGATTTTTATTTGATCAATTATTACATCTTGGTTGCGGAGCGTTTGTTTCTTTGGCAACAAATGGCCTTGATTATATTGGACGAGCACCTAAGGAGGTATGTTCTATAGCGCCTTATGTTGACGCAGTACGTTGTTTAACGCCGAGTGATAGCCTTCAGGTAAAAAAAGTATATATTTAATAATAAATAGATATTGATAATAAAAAGAAAGGGATTAAAATTTGTTTATTTCTTTTTTTTAGACTGTAGGAGTATTTGCGGCCTTGGGAGTAACATTTTGCGGTATCAATGGTAAATTTATATAAAATATATAAAATAATAATATTTATACACTATTTATTAATATTAATATTAATTATTATTATTGTTATTGTTATTTTTGTTAGCTGGATCAACAACGTTTGGATATGAAAAAGTTGTATATTGGCGTGATACATCTTCAGGAATGAAAACTGGGCCTTATTTCTTAGCAAAAAGTATTGCAGATATTCCAAGGATGTTAATAGCTGGGCTAATGTTTTCATTAGCATTTATATTATTCTATTCATATCGAGCACGTTTCATCGAAATTTATGCTATTGTTTTACTTACTTATTTGGCGGCATGGCAAATGGGTAAATTATTATATATTTAATATTATTTATCTTTACGTTTGTATCTTTATATTATTTCTAATATTTTTAATATTAAAATGTAATGTGATTATTTCTAGGTTATTTCTTATCCGCTATTTTTTCAAAAGAGAAAATAGGATTAGTTAGTACGGGATTTGCTCTTGCTTTTGGTATGGTTTTAAGTGGCGCAACTCCTAGATTGGATGTAGTTAAATTAAATGATAGCTTGAAGCCGATTTCCTGGGTATTTGATGTAAGTTATTTTCCAATTTATTTTATTTATGTTATTTAATTGTTTTATTTATTTATTTCATTTATTTTTCATTATTTGTTTATTTTATTTTTTAGATTTCTGCACCAAGATGGACTGTTGAAGCATTATATCTTAAAGAATTAGATCCAAGAAAGTATGTATTTTATTATATTTATAAATAATTTGAAATTTCTATAATTTCTTTAATTTCTAAAATTCTAAAATTTCTAATAGATGGATTGAAATTCATACAGAAAGTCTAAACTTTACATATAGCTTTTCCGATTATCCAAAAGTTTTGTATAATATATTATTTATTGCATTGGCATGGTCATTTCTTGCATTTTTAGCAATGAAATTGGTTAACCGAGATAAACAAAAATAATTATAGATTAATTCATGTAAAACTTTTATTTAAAATATTTTTGGTTTTATTTTTGTATTTATGTTTTGTAAAAACTCCCCCTTTTTTTATTCTAAATTTAAAAAACTACGGATTTTGCTAATATCTATATTATTTTCACTGTATAATAAAAAGGTAGAATTGTTTTAAAACTTTATTGGGGAAATACATAATAGATTGAATTCAACTCTTTGATAATAATTACCTTACCTTGTACTATAGAAAGACGAAAAACATATTCCTAAATCAAGTTTGTTTTAAAATTACGCAATATATATATATAGTTATTCAAACATAGAATTTAATTGTATGAACGCTCCATATTTCGCGAAAAGAATCGAAATTTGTCGACACCTGTATTCCCTCTTTCATAGTGTCATTTTTGTGTTTACTTTTAATAAGTGATATCAAGTATTAATAAGTAACAATTCAGTATCCACAGTTTTTTATTACTTTTGTAAATTGACAATGTTTAAAGACTAGTTGAACATTTTAAGTTTTGTAGAAGTTATATATATATTAAATAGAGTTAAAAAAAAAACTCAATCTCGAAGTTTAATAAAATTTCAAATGATATGATTAAAAATTGTATATAATTATGGCTTCTATTATAGATGAAAATTATAAAACTTTGAATGTGTTAATTACAGCTGACATCACTTATTTAAAAAAATGTCTACCTTCATAGTGATAATAATTATGCTAAAGTATCGTTTTTGAGACACCTATGGTTATTTATAGATGCATCAAAAAAATAACTATTTTGTCACAATAACATAAAAACAATGAGAAAACTTAAACTAGACCCCAGGGTTTAGGTCATTTTATCTAAACCCTTTCTTAATTTATAAATATCAAAGTTAAATTTTAGTTGTACAACCCATCAAATAAATAATCTTTGTTTATTTT